TGAACAAAAAGAAATTTAATTATTTATTTATAAAACCTTAGAGGAAAATAGTTGATATGCAATTCTAACTAATACAACTTTTTGATGACATAATTTGATCAGGACAAAGAGACAATAAATCACCAAATTAGGAAAATGTAACTACTTCAAGACCTTAAGTACCTATTTGCAAGATAGTCACATAATTCCTTTAAATTGAAAAGAACATATTTTCATCTTGTCGTTTGCTATATAAGTTGTGCCAAATAAAATATTAATCAAAGTTTAAGGAAAGGCTAGTAGAATGAAAAAAAAAAAAGAAACCAGTAATTGAAAATACCAACATTTAAAAGGTATTATGGCACTAGAGATTCTAATAAAAATGATAAACTGGAATGCCCTTACATCTAAGGTAGCAAGCTATTTAGTAAGTTGGATGACTTTGAGAAAATTTATAAATACATGACCATTGAAAGAGAGTGGTTCATTTGTGCATTTATGATTCTGCAGACAAACGGTATTCTTGGCAATGTGCATTTAAATGCTGTGTGACCCCAGAGTACAATTATATGAAGATTAATTTTTAGCTTGTGTGCAGTTTGCATTGTAGCATGAGAAGTCTCAGAAGAAAATTCATCCAGGGATTTCATCAGGTGTTAAAAAGAGCTTAGAAAAATAAGCAATCATTTTAATAACAACTCAGGTAAGGTAAAGATAACCATCTCTTAGTATCTATAATCATTGCAAAGATTAAGGTTTGCGTCTTTCCATATGATGGTAATACCCATAGATAATTCTAGAGATTACAATTGTTGCCGTATAAATCTCCAAAATATTTGTCTTCATGGTATTTTAGAAGTTTATTGAATTGAATCTGAATGGAATGCAGGAACTTTATTATACATTCAGATCTTTGCATACAAGTATTTTAAAAGCAAACCACCACCTCCACCGCTTGAGTGTGAGCTAGACTTAATGACTCTTTTCCAAAGAATAAATTATGGAAAGGGAAAAAGATTAATAGTAACTTTACAGTGAAGAAACCTGGCAAGTGATAAAGGTTAACATCACCAGTCATGTCATGTGCATACATGCACCCTCCGATATGTATGATGAGAAGTACACTACCTCTGTGGGATTCTTCTAAAAACCCATAACCCCAGTCTAATCATGAGAAGAACATCAGACAAACCTAAACTGAGGGACACTCTACAAAACACCTGAGTTTTCAAAACTGTGAAAGTCATGGACAATAAGAGAAATTGTCACAACCAGAGAAGATTAAGGAGCCATGACAATGAAATGCACTGTGGTACTTTCATTTGGATCCTCAATCAGAAAGAGGACATTAATGGAAAAACTGGTGAAATCCAAATAAAATCTGGAGGTTAGTTAATAATAATGTGCCAGTGTTAGTTTCTTAGTTTTAATGTAATAGATGTACCATGTTAATGTCAAATGTTGACAACAGGGTAAACTGGGTGAGAGTATGGGAACTCTGGGTCATATCTCTGCAACTTTTCTGTAAGTCTAAAATTATTACAAAATATAAGTTTACTTTTAAAAAAATCTTAGTTTTTCTGCCTCTAAGATACAGCAGGCATATACCCACTGTCTGCTGTTGCTATCTAAAGCTATATTATCATTCCAGGAGCACTTGGTTGACAATAGCGTTGAGTGAAATGGACAAGAAAATGGATAGGAGAAAGCAATTTAAAGAAGGACATGGGAAAGCTTAAAGAAAACCAAAAAGCTTTGAAAACAATGTATAATATTAAAATTACTTTTAAAGAATGTATTTTACTTTTTACAGACACAAAAGAGCCACAGTAATAAAAATTCACTTCCGCTATATTGTGATTCCATTAAAATACAAGTAATTTCTATGTTTATGCTTTTCTCAGAAAAGACTCTGTCCTTCTGTTACCACAGAGCAGAGCTCTAAGCTACTATATTACCCTCTGGGGAGAGGTATGTTTTGTTGGATCGTGTGTAACAACATTGCAGCCTATATGCACGCTCTGAGACAATATCTGAGCATTCCAAGTTCTTTAAAAAAAAAAAAAACAAAGTAGAATTGGGCTGCTGATTTCCTTTAAGTGTGAACGAAGGTAAATACCATTTTAAAAACAGATATAATCCTAAAATTGTAGACAAGTGAACCATGTCATAACATTCTCCACTCCACCTTTGTTCTCTCAGTGGCAGATAGCCCCTACTGAATATTCATGATGACCATGCCTAGCTATTCTCAAATACAGTTGTCTCCCCTTATACGCAGGATAAACGTTCCAAGACCCCCATAGATGCCTGAAACCTCAAATAGTAACAAGTGCTATATAGACTGTACTGTTTTTTCCTATATATAAATATTTATAATAAAGTTTAATTTATAAATTAGACATAGTAAAAGATTAACAATAACTAATAATAAAATAGAACAATTATTAATACATCTATAAATAAACTTAAATAGAATAATTTAAAAATTATGAATTTATTTCTGGAATTTTCCATTCAATATTTTTGGACTGTGGTTTATTGCAGGTAACTGAAACTGTGGAAAGCGAACTGTGGATAAGGGGAGACTACTGTATTTACAACAATATAATTTTATTACTGACTTTGGGAGACTAGTTTATATTCTCATTGTATAATTTCTTCTTGACCATAATAAGCAATTTTTGCTCATTATTACCTCTTAGATTTTAATCCTTGTCATACATTTACAAATGCTAATATCATTGACTAACCCATGTGTTCCTTCCAAAGGGAAAATTTTAAGAACTACTGCATTTCTGGCATGTGCATGTAGATGAATGCCTTTGTATCAAGTCCATTATTGAAAGACTCATTCATCATTTTGCTGGGAAGATTACAGATATCGCCTATAATTTGGAAATTATGTTCTGGTAGTTTGCCATTAGGTGAAATGTTGCATATCAAACCTTATTTTCCTGTGGATTTCAATAACACACATAATGTGATTTTCAGTGTAGAGGTAAGACAAAGACACAAAGTCTACATCTTTGGAATAGGAACCACAGTGACAATGAGAAAGGAGTACAGAATGTCATAATGTCAGGCTTCAGTGGGCCTGACTCCTGGTGAGTGGATGGTACAGAAAGGCTGAGGCTGTGTCTATCTTCCCAAGACTTGCTTCCTGTCCCATGCTTCCCAGTCCTCAAGCTTAATGGGATCTTAGTGAGAGGGAGAGACCATTTCTGAAGAATAAAGCTGAGGACAGAGGTTCACCATCCTTCCTTCATTTTCTTCTCTCCCTGTCCTGTCCCCTGGACATCAGGGCAAGACTGCATCCAAAGGCTGACCTCAAAGACTTGAACTCATTATTAATACTGCTGGCTCTGCTCTTTGGGATGGGCTCTAGAACATCTGCTGTACTAAATGCAGGGAATTGCTATATTTGTATTGGTACAGTATATGAGGAAGGGAACTTTATATATTCTAATGTTCCAATAATTGAAATGCCAAATAGTTGCTGTCTCTAACAAGATGTGCATGATTTTCCTTACATTAAAAAAATTTGCACCATTTAGAAAGAAGCTTTCTATGTGATTTTCCTTACATTAAAAATATTTCTGCTTCTAAGAGAGCAGTTTTGCTTCATTATGAAGCTGGTATCCCTTGATCTGTATTTGATTTGTGGCCTGGACCTTCAGTTTCTGTATTTTTCAGTAGTTTTCTTTCTGTTGCTTTTATAAGTACCTCTGCACATATCTGACTGTGCTTTTTTTCTGCCCTGGCTAAGCATTTGCCAAGGAAACCTACCAGAATGGAAACTGCTAAGAATGATGACCACTTCTTATTGACTAATATTTATATCTTCAGAGCTTAGCACAGTGGTTGACACATAAAATGTGTTTCATTCTTATTATTTAAAATGTACAAAAAACCATTTTCTTATTTCTTCTTTCTACTGATGTGTGTCACTACAGTATGCACCAGAATGCAAGTTCACTCTTTGGACCATTTGTGTGGTATCTAGCATAATGCATCATTTACAAATCTGCAGAGTTGTAAGCAAACTTACCAAGTTTCTTGCCTGTTGGCTCGACACGGGTTCTCACAAATGACCTGATTCTACACCAAATATCTATTACCTCTTGGTGTCTATTATCCACTGACCTATTTTTCTAGAGGCCACTTGACTTCTCATGTTGAGGTGTTTGGTTGCTTCTATTTCCGACCTCATTTGCAGGAGAAGTAAAACGACTTAGAAAACCTATGGCAGCTTTTAGAGAGTTAAAAGGAGTTAGACTGGATAAAATAATAACTCCGGTGAAGGGATTCAACAAAGGTGAAACTTGAACCATCCAAAACTGTGAATCCACCATTGGGGTCATGTATACCACTTGCCTTCGGGGAGGAATTTTGTAGATACAAATAAACCAGTTGGAATCGTTAAGACTGGTTAGCTGCAAACTATTCTATTAACTAAATAGCACTATGTTAACAGTGACCCATCCCCAGTTCTGACATATCTTTTCCAATAAGCTTCTCAGCTATGATGTCCATGCTTCACCAATGTAGAGCACAACTCCTCACTTTCACCTCTTCCTGCTAGATCATCCACTTCCAGTTCAGCAACCATCTTGGTCCAATTCCTCGCACTTGCCCCTTCTCCCTCATCCCCAATACCTTTCACTGTTGTTTTGTTTTATTTGCAACCAATATTATTTTGTGGAAAAATCTACTCAGCCTTGTATTCCAAGGCCTCCCTCGCAGTTCTCTCTGGAGGACGCCACTCCTGTGCTCACGCCTGCTGACTCACTGGGCCAAGAAGAGCAGGTCAGCATACTCGGCTCCCCTTTCCTTTGCTGCACCATTGTTCAACCAGCTTGTGCCCCATCACGCTCGATATTTCAAAACCTCAAAGGCAACTCGTCTGCTATGCCACGTCCACCGATCATGCCTCTTCATCTCCTGTCCTTTCCCACTGTCACCAGACACTCTCAGACACCCTTTGCCCAAACTATTTTTATGATATTCCAATGAGTCACCTGGATGCCAGCCTCTCTTTCTTCTTCATTTAACCCACTGTCCATTCCACGTGCTGCTTAGGTGATCTAAAAGGTAAATTCTGGTCTAGTAAAAAAAAGAAAAAGAAAAAGAAATAAGATTTCTTTGCTTATTAAATAAAGCTCAAACTCCTCAGTCTGGCATCTAAGACTCCCTATAATATGGCTCCAATGTTTAACTCCAGCCTTACCTTTCAACGTCCTCCCCTCCAGCCAGCCTACACTATGTACTTTTTCTGTCCGGTGGGATTTTCTGCTTTTAATAATGACAGTTGCAATTTATCAAGGGCTATGTTCCAGGCATTGCAATTAAGCCTTTTACATTTAATCAATTCAATAACAGTGTAAGGTAGGAACTATTATCCCGTTCTAACAGGTGAAAAAATATTGTTAAAGGGAATTACATAAGATTTCCTAGATCACATAGCTAGAAAACAGCAGGCCCAGATTTGAACCCCATCCATCTCTTGGCAAAAGTCGTGCTCCCTCCTTTGTCTGAAATGCACTAATCTTTACTCATCAAAATTATTCTCATCCCCCCAAATCATGTCAAATGCACCTTCCCTCATGAATCATTTTTTGTCCCTCTGACCAAATAGAATCACCCCTCCTCTGTACTCTCACGGTACTATAGACACTTTGTTTACTCATTTCAAAAGCCAAGTTTGTAATAGAATATGGTTGCAGGCCTGCTGGAGCTTACATGCCAGGTGTTACTTATTTCCTTTTGTATTCCCTTTGAACACAGTAGGCATTTATTACATAGTTATTGCACTTAGTCAATATCTATCAATCCTCCATTAATACACTGACCTATTTGTGTGGAGGAATCTAACAGAATGCTTTCCCAGACCATCTTTCTAGAATACTGTAGCCAAAATGGCATCTGAACTTCATTTTTACAGTTGTTATCTGTGCAAAAAAGTGCACCCTCTATACTCAAGAAATTTTTGTTCGACTAAAATAATAAACTATTTTTCTTTGTATAATCAAGGATCTATGTCATCAGTTGCTTTTTTAAAGTCTCACTTCTTGTAGATTCTGATGTGAAAAGAGCTTGTTTCTTGCTCAACAGCACTAGAAAAACCAAATGTGAGAAATGTGAGGCGAAAGTTGACAGTAAGTGGCAGAATCAGGATTTAAATCTAGATGTGAGGCAAATGCTGTAGTTCTTAACCAATATGCTACACTGTGTTGCAAAACAATTGCCCAGCCATTTTGTTGCCTGCAAATATGGTCATGCTATTTTAACAGTATGTTCTGCCACTGGGATTATAATTTGTGTTTTCCCTAAACAATTTAGCTGCTTATTGGCAATTTAAGATTCGGGTTCTTTGTTTTTTTTTCTTGTGTTGTTTTTGACATAGAAGAAATGTCCTACCATTTGTCTAAGAGGAATCTCTTTTAACTGTGCTTTACATCCTACCCTTGTTAAGGATTAATACAAACAGATGATCTCATTATTTTTATCATTTTTCATATTACATTTCAGAAAGGCAACTTCAAGCTTGGGTTTACCTTTCTGTCATCACTCTCCTATCTTCCTGTACCTATTTGTATAAAATGGAAGTTAAGTATAACTCAGAGAGTGAAGAATAGTGTTTAACTACCAGCATGTTTTGCCTTTGCACAGCATTTTCTGAACTGGAGACAGACCCATTTGCAATCCAGTATGGTGCATGTGGGAGAAAAGAGGTAAATTTAAACTTTTCTGATAAATAAAATCCATTAAAAGAGACTTTATAGTAGATATTGTTTTGAGAATAGCATGCAAATTTCTTCAGAAGGTACATACTGTTCTTGACAAAATGGTCCTTCTTTACCACTCCAGCCTCTTTTCTTACCATTATTGCCTCTTGCTTCTATTACAGACATGCTGAACTTCTTATAGGTCTTCCCAAAAGACATGCTCTTTCTCACCTCTGGAATTGCACATGTTGATCTTTCTTCTGTTACCTTAACTCCCTATCCACTATTGGTCCTCCAGGACTAAACTCATGCTAGCTCCCTAACTCCCACAATGTTAGGAGCCCCTTTTATAATATGTCTACCCCACTTATCTCCCACTGGTAGCAGACCTTATGCTGATTTGCAATTGCCCATTAATTGCCTGTCTTCCCAAACAGCTGGTAAACTCCATGAGGGTAGGAACTGTCTTTCCTACTGATAGATTCCCAGGACCTTGGATGGTATTTGGAACATTATAGGTGCTCATTACATCTTTTACTGGATGAATGAATAAATGGATGAAAGAATTAATTCTTTTCTAAGAAGAGACAGTCATTCTAGATAGTCAGCTTTTTATCTTTTAGGACTAAATATTATTTCCTTGTGACCTTACCATTTTACCCTGACAGATTCGAAAGACTGAATTATAGCAGGTTAGTGGCACCCAAATTATTAAAATACTTGGGCAACTGCCAGATTTCTTTTTATCATATGCATACTTTGTATCTGGGTATTTTATTTGCACAAGGATTATTCTTCTGGGAAGTCATATAGAATTCCTAGGGAGTATACCATCAAAAGGGATGAATCAGCTTAAATTAATCTGAGAAACTAAATATAACTGAGTGGGAAAAATAATGCTTAAAAGTTATTAAGAGGAAAAGCACACACTATATTTTTTCTGTAATCAATTGCAAATTTACATTTGATAGCTCTGGTTGTTGTTTAATCAAAAATGATTATCTTCCTTGATTAGAAGTATTTTTTAAGGAAAAGGAATTGCTAATTAGTTTGCTATCACTCTGTTGAAGGTGCTTGCAATTAAATTGAGGAGGTAAGGAAAGCTGCAAATGATCCAAATGCTAAAATGTAGTTACTAAATATTGAAGGAGTTCCTCTTTCAAACTCGGTGAAGCTCTAAACTTCTTTTTTTTTTTTTTTTTTTTGAGACAGAGTCTCACTTTGTTGCCCAGGCTAGAGTGAGTGCCGTGGTGTCAGCCTAGCTAACAGCAACCTCAAACTCCTGGGCTCAAGCAATCCTGCTGCCTCAGCCTCCTGAGTAGCTGGGACTATAGGCATACGCCACCATGCCCGGCTAATTTTTTCTATATATTTTTAGTTGGCCAATTAATTTCTTTCTATTTATAGTAGAGACGGTGTCTCGCTCTTGCTCAGGCTGGTTTCGAACTCCTGACCTCGAGCAATCCGCCCCCCTCGGCCTCCCAGAGTGCTAGGATTACAGGCGTGAACCACCACGCCCGGCCTCTAAACTTCTTTAAATAAAATAATAACTCTAGTATCTAAAATAACATTCTCATAGAAAAAAAAAATCTGTGAACCCTTGGTTGAAACAAAAGAGACTGATTATTGCACATTTTTATGGTAAGTATACCTAAAAAGAAAAGCTAATTGCTATTGTGTATTTGGATACATTTAGATGAAGTCATGATATAAGGTACAGTCTGTACGATGAATTGGTTTCTTAATAACATTTAAAGATGTTTGCTTCTTGAAAAATCAAATTGCCTAAGATTTATTTCTTTCCATCTTAACCATTTTTAAATCTACAGATCAGTAGTGTTAACTATTTGCACATTGTTGTGCAACAAATCTCTAGAATTTTTTCATCTTGTAAAACTAAAACTCTAACCATTGAACAACAACTCCCCACTTCCCACCCCTACCCTCGTCCCCTGGCAGCCACCATTCTACTTTTTGTTTCTAAAAGTTCGACTTTATACTTTATGGAAGTGGAATCATGCAGTATCTCTCTTTTTGCAATCAGCTTGTTTCACTTACCATAATGTCCTCAAGTTTCGCCCATGTTGTAGCATGTGAAAGGACTTCCTTCTTTTCAAGGCTGAATAGTACTCCACTGTATGTATATATATATATATATATATATATATATATACCACATATTATTTATACATTCATCCACTGATGGACATTCAAGTTGCTTCTACCTCTTGGCTATTGGGTATAATGCTACAATGAACATGGGCATTTAAATACCTCTTTGAGATTCTGCTTTCAGTTATTTGGGGTGTATATCCAGAGGTGAAATTGTTGGATCATATGGTAATTCTATTTTTAATATTTTGAGGAACCTCCATATTATCCATGGTGTCTACACCATTTTACATTCTCACCAACAGTGCACAAAGGTTCCAATTTCTCCACATCTTCACCAACACTTGTGTGTGTGTGTGTGTTATAATAGCTATCATAATGAGTGTGAGCCTCATTATGGCTTTGATTTGCATTTCCCTGATTAGAGGTGTTGAGCATCTTTTCATATGCTTGTGGCCATACATGTATCTTCTTCGTAGAAATATCTATTCAAGTCCTTTGCCCATTTTTAAATTGGGTTATTTGGGTTTTATTGTTGAGTTGTAGGAGCTCTTTATATATTCTGGATATTAATCCCTTATCAAATATATGGCTTGCAAATATTTTCTCCCATTCTGTAGGTTTCCTTTTCACTTTGTTGATTATTTCCTTGGATGCACAGAAGGTTCTAGGTTTGATGTAGTCCCATTTGTCCATTTTTGCTTTTGTTGTCTGTGCTTTTGGGATCATATCCAAGAAATCATTACCAAATCCAATGTCATGAAATTTTGCCCTATGTTTTCTTCTAAAAGTTTTATTTATAGCTTTTGGTCTTACAGCTTATGTCTTTGATGCATTTTGAGTTAATTTTTATATTTGATGTAAGGAAGGGGTCCAACTTCATTCTTTTGCACATGTATATCCAGTTTTCCCAGCACTGTTTGTTGAAGAGACTATCCTTTCTCCATTGTGTAGCCTTAGCACCTTTGTTGAAGTCATTTGGCCATATACGTGAGGGTCTATTTCTGGGTTCTTTATTCTGTTCTATAGGTCTTTGTATATATCCTTAGGTCAGCATAATACTGTTTTGGCTGCTGTAGCTTTGTAATATATTTTGAAATCAGGAAGTGTGAGGCTTCCAGCTTTATTTCTCAAGATGGTTTTGGCTGCAACAGTGCATTTTTAAAAATGTGCAATGTTAGGCTACATTAGGAGAATATAGTGTTCAAATATTGGAAAATAAGAATCTACCCTCTCTGAACTCATCACAGCAATTATACTATAGCC